GCACGGGGGCGGGGCCTGTGTGAGCCATGGGGCGGGGCCTGTGAGAGCAAGGGGGCGGGGCCTGCATGCCAAACAGTGACATGGACCAGAGGTTAATCTCACCAGGGGCCCACTCTATCCTCTGCACACACACACAGACACACACTTTCACAAACACACACAAAAACGCACACACACACAGAAACACACACACACACAGAGAAACAGCACATACACACACAGAGAAACACGCACATACACACAGACATACACAAAAATGCACACACACACACACAGAAACATGCGCACACACACACACACAGACACATGCGCACACACAGAAACACACACAGACACACACACACATACACGTTTTTGTTACCTGGTGGGTCCCTTTGACAGGGCCGTTCAGAATGGGACCCATAGACATAATCTTTTTTTACTGGGACTACTTTAAGTAATACAAAACAGTCAATAGAAAACAAACAACTCTTTTAAAGGAATTTTATTTTAGATTTTTTTTTTGAATTGCAGTGATTCTATTTTTGACATAGAATTTAATGCCACTCCATGTCCGATGTCTAAGGTCATCTGGTGAGGCATTAATGCAGGCCAGGCAGTGAGACTTCCCAGGGACCTTTCCAGTCTGTATGAAAGGTGTCATGGTCTTCTCCACAGCCTTCACCTCAGATGCAGACCATGGCTTTCTCTAACGTTCTAGGGAGAGAAATAAAAAATATATTAGCAATATACACTCCCAGGGTTAGGACCAAGCAGCCTGGCTGTAATCCCCCACCTGGTACACTTACCAGAAGGGGCACTGCCACTACCATGGGGTGCATCTGGATGAATGGTTGAAGGTTCTCCGCTTGAAGTTTCTTTTAGCCCGTCCGTTTGTGAGAGGATCTCTACTGCTCTCCCTGTCGCACAGAAAATAAAAATACAAGTGGCCTTTAGGGGAAAAAAATCATACATATTTTAATAATATCAAGAATTACCTTCAGGCTCAATTTGTATCTGGTCGAGGCTCTTTCCTTCGAATTCCGTCACTCTTCCCTGCTCCATGGCCATCAACACTTTGCTGATTTTGGCCAGCTCCAGTGTCCCCTCTGGTAGTCTGTAATATTGCCTGTGGATGCGAATGTCATGGCCGAGGAAGTTGGCAAGTATGTCCATCTCATTCTCTTTCATATTGAGAACTGTAGACATAGTAGCTATGTGCTTTCTAAGTTTGGTTGAGGATAGCATCTCTGGATGCACCGCACCACATTCTTTGGCTACCTGGCGTAGGGAGTCTGATCCCCTGATGTGGGTGTCTGCGCCCGGGCGGGAAAAGAAGTATGGGTTATGGTCAGAGATGGAACAGGCCCTTCTGTTCTCCACCAGCACCTCCATCGAAGCAATCATTTCAGGAGTCAAAAGAACCGGCACTTTCCGACTTCTTTTCCCTTTAATTTCAATGCGTTGAAAATGCTGACACAGCTTTTTCTCAAGTTGGGACAGTCCCAGAGCAATGTCAGAATGGATCCCAGTCTTACTTCTTAAGGTAAAGGCTGTCAGTGGCATCTTTTAAACCTCACCTTCCCTTCTTCGATTGAAAATGATGACCTCACAAAGAGTCAAAACTGCCAGTTTAGACCAATGCTTAGACGTTGGCTCACTTATTAGGGTTTGCACATATTCAGGTCGACATACCTCAATATGTGCATGCATGGCTCTAACGTCCTCAGTCAGAGGGAGCAGGTCCGGAGTGTTCCACTTGGCTTGCCGGAGGGTCTGTAGGGCAGCAGAAGAAACACAGACGTCCCACCTCTTCTCAAAAAGCAGCCGGCTTCGTTGGAGGTTTTTAATAAATAGTTCATCAACACAATGCTCCATTTTTGAGTCACATTCAAGAATATCTGCTAGCTTTCTGAGGCTATGGCCGAGTTTGAGGGCCAAGGATGGAGTCTTGTATTGATTTGTTTCCTCATCATATCCAGCCACAGACCTGACTGCATCAATCACATGGTTAAAGTTGGAAGGAATAAAGAAATCCTTAATTGTTTTCAGTTTCCCTGCGGTTTTTGCTTCGTTAATTAACCTACCGACTTCTCTCATTTTCTGCCTAATGTAATCATGCTTAGTCTTATCATGCCCGTGTTTTAAGTACAGGTGCTCTCCGAGTCTCAGAATCCCCTTTTCTGCTTTGACAACACCCGTGACCTCATCCTGATGCATTGCCGAAATTAAAGACCACAGCTTTTTGCTGATGCCCTCCGGTACAGGCTGGGCTAGGGAGCAGAGGGACTGGACCCTACTTCTACCTGGTTTAGCCTGGGCATCTTTCTGTGAAAGCCGGCACCTGGCCACATGCCTCCACAGCGACTTTTGCTTAAGCAATGCCCCACAGTCTATACAGTGCAAAAACTCACTGGATTTAACTGGGGAATTTGGCTGTTTAGCTGGGACTAAAGTTCCAATGCCGGCCTTTAAAACCTCAAAATTGTGCTCACGGTTTCCACTATTCCTGATCAAATCAAACTGAAGTTTACGTGCTTTAGATTTCACAGGTAGAGCCAATGCTCTGGCTACGTCACTTTCATTTCCATGTTTTCTAGTCAAATGACGGGACATTTTGTGGCAGGACATTGAACAGTAGAGGCAGAAGTGTCTCTTGCTGTATACTCGCCCCCCATTTTTCTTCTTTTGCAGCTGCATGATAACAATCTTATTTGCCTTTGGTTCGTCACTTTCCGAGTCTTGAAGAAAAGTGTTTTTGATTTTTCTTTTTCCATACTTTTTTACAGGTTTCTTCTTGACAGTTAAATCGTCAGAATCTGAGTCGACTTCATCAATTAGGGACTCTTGACTAAGCTGCACAAACAACAAATAATTTGTAATAATTCTATATAACAATTTGAAGTCATGACTTGTAGTCAGCACTTACCAGTGGTTTGTAAGCGTGCGCTTCAGTGTGCTGCTCTGTGATTGGCTGCAGCCTAATGAACCACACACTTGCACCTTTTCTAGCCTGACACCTGATTTCCTCTGTTGTGCTGCTCCATGATTGGCTCCAGCCTCTGTTGTGCTGCTCCATGATTGGCTCCAGCCTCTGTTGTGCTGCTCCATGATTGGCTCCAGCCTCTGTTGTGCTGCTCCATGATTGGCTCCAGCCTCTGTTGTGCTGCTCCATGATTGGCTCCAGCCTCTGTTGTGCTGCTCCATGATTGGCTCCAGCCTGCTGGACTGAAATTGCCCCAGTGTGCCCCTCCTTGATATCCCGCAACCCACCACCAGGGTTCCGACACATAACACACTTTTTTCAGGAAAGTAAACCTCCAGGGGTCCTTTCCATATTTTTACAGAGACTGCATAAGGACCGTTAGAAAAGCATTACCCATTGATTATTAAGCTTGGACCAGTGGGGTCCGGTGTTCGGGCCCCACCACGTAAAACCAGTCCCCATGACGTGAGCGGAATCTCAGGTTATGGACCCACCAGGAGTTGAAAACAAGTGCAGACACATGCGCACACACAGAAACACAGACACACACACACACAGAAACACACACACACACACACACGCACACACACACACACACACACACACGCACACACCTATAAAGACTAAAAATTGAAAAAATAATATTTACTTTTCAACAAAGTTTGAGAAAAGAGAAAATCCAAAATGCTGAGCCAACAACAACAACAGGTTGAGTCACCCCCGCGCCTTCTGTCTAAACACTCTGTTTACAAACTTGTTACACTGCGATAAAACCTCAGATTCTACAGTCATGGAAAAAACTGTTTTCTGAGTTTTAAAACAAATACTTTTTTCTGGTAAATTGATTTTATTTTTGAATACTCAAATCCCAACGGAGCAGAGGAGTTTCCCACTTCTACCAGGAACCAGAGGCTCGCTCATTCTGGTCATCTCTAACTCCATTTTTCACATCTCCACATACAGTCATTCATTGTTCTCAGCTGGTAAAATTAAGACCAGGGACAGAGACCAGGGACAGAGACCAGAGAGAGACCAGAGAGAGAGACCAGGGACAGAGACCAGAGAGAGACCAGAGAGAGAGACCAGGGACAGAGACCAGGGACAGAGACCAGAGAGAGACCAGAGAGAGAGACCAGGGACAGAGACCAGAGAGAGACCAGAGAGAGAGACCAGGGACAGAGACCAGGGACAGAGACCAGAGAGAGACCAGAGAGAGAGACCAGGGACAGACCAGGGACAGAGACCAGAGAGAGACCAGAGAGAGAGAGACCAGAGAGAGAGACCAGGGACAGAGACCAGAGAGAGACACCAGAGAGAGACCAGAGAAAGACACCAGAGAGAGACCAGAGATAAAAAAGGGAAAAAAATCATACTTCCTGATTGTCAAAATGTTGATGAAAAAAATGTATCTGTGTCGCTGTAACCAGGTGGAACTGGGGCACGGGACCAGGTGGAACTGGGACACGGGACCAGGTGGAATTGTTTTGAGTTTTTAATCATGTTAGATTGTTTCATTGAGAAATATAGACCTGGATCTCTCTCTTTCTCTTCCATCTCTATTAATGCTCTCTCTCTAGTCTCTCTTCTGGTTTCTCTCTCTCTCTAGTCTCCAGAAAGAGGGAGAGGGTCTCTACGGTCTCTCTTTCTAGTCTCTGGACGATATTAACATTTGGTGCA